TCTCTCTCTCTCTCTCTCTCTCTCTCTCTCTCTCTCTCTCTCTCTCTCTCTCTCTCTCTCTCTCCAATCCTTTCAAACGTAACTGCATTTTTTTTATACCGCACCCCCTCCGCCCTAATCAAAAACTTTTAAAAATGGGAAAAAAATGTGCTCTCAATTTTTAAAATTCTGTGAAAAGATTAACAATCACAACGCGTCCTGCGCCTGCAAAAATCAGTTCAAACAGGGGGGAAAAGTAGTTAGTATTCTCTTAACACAATAATAATCTGGTATCTATCTAAATCATTGAAACACACGCGCGCGCGCACACACACACACACACACACACACACACACACACACACACACACACACACATACACCCACACACACATACACAACAACTTCGATATTAAAAACTCATAGTCCTAACCAAAAACACAGGCACTATGTCTCCCTTGAATTAAAATGCCCCAAGCTTTCAGTTAAACATGCACTTGTATTACTTTTTTTTGCAGAGAACGTTAGCATGAATTTCAATGTTGACTGCATGGCCGAGAAAGGAGAAATTTTGGGACACATTCTACCACGAAACCGATATGAAATAACCAAATTTCAAGACACTTCTCTGTTAAAATTTGTGAGTTTGTGATGTTAACATTATATCATATTCTATTATTGTGCTTATGGTAGGTCTGCTCAAGTGCTTCCGAAAGGCGTTTGGTCTTGTAATTTTGGGACTAATGAGGGAACTGACAATAGGCAGCTGTAATAGAGTGTGTATGTGTATGTGTATGTATGTATGTGTGCGGGTTTGTGTGTGTGTGTGGAAAGGGGGGGGGGTGTACATGTGTGTGTGTGTCTGTGAGGTTCTAAATGCACATTTATTAAGAGAAAGAAACACAACACAAGATTGCCCATCAAAAGAAGGAGAGGTGAAAAAAGGGTCAATGGGGGGGGGGGGAGGTTGCGTCGCTATCAACACTATTATGTTATTCAAGAGGAGGTAGCTGCTGCATAACAGAAAATCATGTCTTATCAATTTTAAATGTCATTCTGTTCGGAATATAGTATGGCAATGGGCTAAATAATAATAATGATAAATAAATAAGAAAAACTAATACCGAGTACTCACAGTTTTCGAATACTCAGACTATTCCATTCAATATAGTCAGGTAGCAGAAACAAGTGAATACCTTACGATTTGAAAAAAAAAGAGTAGTAACGCAACATTGGTGTCAATTTAAATGAAAGAAGGGAGGTTTGCTTCAACCCTGCCTCTTAGGGCCAACTCGGGCCAAGACTGATCAAACAGAAGAGGGAGAAGAGGGAGAAGAATGCCATGAGAAAAGTGTGGGAAAAATGAAAAGCAATCGAACCTTTCCAAGACGTCTACCCATTGTCGAACAGAATAGTAGTCATCTCAGATCGTGATGTTCTATTTGCTAATTTGGAAATGTCTTTCTTAATACGTAATTAAGTCTTCCAAATAGTTCTTCGAAGGCTGTTGCAACATTTACTATAATTTTACACGTCCGAATTTGTTGAAGTAAGTATTGTTTCTTTTCTCCCTAATTCCCCCGACAAGAGAAGGTTGTTGATAAGAATAACTCTCTCTCTCTCTTTCTCTCTCTCTCTCTTCCTCTCTCTCTTTCTTTCTCTCTCTCTCTCTCTCTCTCTCTCTCTCTCTCTCTCTCTCTCTCCCCCCTCTCTCTCTATTCTCCATAAATGTTTCGACGTTCAATGCTTGTAAAACTTCATTTGTTTGTCGCATTTCAAAGCTTACAGCCGGCGTCAGTTTAATCCCAAAAAATTCTTCGCCAATTTTGTAGAAAGTATAAGTAACTGTAAAACCCACTAAAAAATCAAATGCGTTTTTCAGACCCCTTACCGCCTGAACACAAGTGACAACACCATCTATCTGCGAGATAAGTTGAATGACTCCGTGTCCAACCTCACGTTCCTCTATTTTACTGCATTCGAAAAACAGGGATACTGGGAGGGGTGAGTAAATTTCTTTTCTTTTCAGTTTGTTTCATTAGTCGACGACACGGTACTTTTCAATATTGCCCGTATCTCTTTCCAAGTCACGTATTTCAAAATTGTTATAGTTATCAGTATATTCAATATTCTACCAGGTGAGGTTGTTGTTAGTGGTGTGTTTTACTTTTGAAATTACCGTTATAGTTTTTATTTATATATTTATTTAACAAACGAGGCAGGGGTAGGCCCAGAGCAATCTACTTTGAGAACCTGAAGACATAGGTGACAAGGCAAGATTAGGGTAATGTAGCCTTTTTAAGAACATCCGAGGAAAGGAATGAATCGAGAATCACGATCGCACATGTCTACCCTTGATGATGATGATTTATTTATCTTTATGTATTTATTTAGAAGATTGCGTCTATTGTTACCTCAGTTGGTATCTTGCTGATATGAATGCCCAATAGAGAGTTCGGTGATGTTTCAAGATTCTCCGAATTCTTATTTTGGTCCTGCCGGAGAGTGATGTCAAATTTGGAGTTCCCCTCTGATACACAACCTTACTGATAGAAGCGTTAAAAAAAGCCTTCACAATAGGTCTACCTATGAAAAAGGCTCATTCTTCATGTTTACCTTGTGCCTTTGACTGAAAAATACTGTAAATGTTCTACATTTTTTAACGTCACAATTTAGCTGATTTAGGAGGCTTATTGTTTTGAACCTGACTGTCACAACCAACCAGGTATGACTTGTTAGATAAAACAACACAGCAGACTGGCAGATCCAGCATAAAATGACTCCAAATTTAGGAATAGAAATAAGATTTTCAACGTTTGACAACGAAGAGATAAACAATTACACGATAGACGCCGATGTCTATGGTATTAAAATACGGCAAAATTACAAAATCTAAGATATTACATGTCTTTTTTCCTCCTTTGTTCTTCTTAAATACTTCACAGTGACTGTTAACATGTACCAGGTTTCATAATGGTGTTTGTGCCAAATTTCAAGCAAACTAAATTATATTACTTGTTTGTTTCTCCATGTTTCTGTATAGCAACTACTCAGTGACTATAAATATCACCGGACGTCATAATGGCGTCTGTGCCAAACCCCAGGCAAGCTTCCACCAAGCCCAGGCTGCGGCACAGGAAGAAAGGGCAGACAACTTGGTCACCGCCCTGATTGTGGTTACCCTCCTTTTCTGCAGCATAATAGCTGTGTTGGTCACAGCTTTCATCAGGTGATTGTTGTTGTTGTTGTTGTTGTTGTTGTTGTTGTTGTTGTTGCTGCTGTTGCTGCTGTTGCTGTTGCAGCTGTTGTTGTTGTTTTTGTTGTTGTTGTTTTTCTTGTTCTTGTTCTTCTTGTTCTTGTTCTTGTTCTTGTTCTTGTTCTTCTTGTTCTTCTTCTTGTTCTTCTTCTTCTTCTTCTTCTTCTTCTTCTTCTTCTTCTTCTTCTTCTTCTTCTTCTTCTTCTTCTTCTACCGCCCGTGGGTCGGGGGGAT